ATGAAGGTAGGCTCTATGATCTAGGAGCTTGTGGGCTGAACTGTGTGTCAAAATACTCTCAAATAAAGTCCCATTGGACATTTTCAAGGGCATATGTACAGAATGCTACAAACAGAAACATAAAATCTACTCTAAAATATTAGAGAAAGCAGAGACACAAGGGAGCTGGGCATAAGATTTCCCAAGAGAGGCTAGAAAGAACCAGGTATTTCTTTCTTCCAGTGTGAAACAGATGTGGCAGCAAAGACTTCCGGTGTGATTGGGGACAGTCTAGGGAGAGGGAAGAGGGGAGGACCTGCCTCTGCTAGCTGATCTGACCTGATTAGGGGCCAGACTTGCTGGAGGTGAAGTTTGCTGGCATCTAATGGAAAGTGTGAACCCTTACAGTCTTGCCTCATTGACAAAAAAAATTATAGCCAGGTATGGTGGCACGTGCCTATAGTCCCAGTTACTCAGGAGGCTGAAGTGGGGCAGTGGGGGGATCACTTGAGACCAGGAGTTTGAGGCTGCGGTGAGCTCCGATTATGCCACTGTACTCCAGCCTGGGTGACAGAGTGAGATCTTGTCTCTTAAAAAAAAAAAAAAATTACTAAGACTATGAAGGTTAACAGTGTGCAATAGGATTTATCAGTGATGTTTTTCCATCTTCTTTGTACTTCTCTATTTTCTAATTTTTCTATAAACAAGACTTTTTATTTTTTATTTGACTGTGGTGGGGAGGGATATCACCTTTTAAAATATACTTGTTCCCGGATAGAAATTTTTCATCTGTCTTTATCTCAGGTGGATTTTTGGAATTCATAGTCCCATTCCATTCATCCATCCATCCAATCATTTATTCTATTTTCATGTACCAGGCACGAGAAAGGAGGCAGAAGTCAGAGTAATTAATCCTGGGGGGGTGTGTGTGAGTGCGTGTGGGTCAGAGAAATGTTCTGGTGAGGACAGACCACACAGCTGTGACCAGTGGTCCCTGACCCTCTGCCTCCACGTGTGCTGATTCTCTGCCTGGGTTGCCTTGCCCTTACCTTCTTGTCCTGGACAATTAATTACTTATCCTTCAAAACTGTTGGTACCTCACCCCCCAACAAAGCCTTTCTTTCCAACACCACTCCTCCCCGGTAAAGGAAGCCTCGGAGCTTCCCTCTACTCTGTGTTCCCTAGCACCTCCCAGGGCGCGCTCCTCGGCCTTTAACAAACGCTGCCCAAAGACTCCTCTTATCCTCCCCACACACCTCTTGGGTGGGTACTGTTCTTATTCATCTTCCACCTGAGTAGGAGAGGAGAGGTAAAGATCCACAGTCTGTAAGCAGAAAGTGGGAGGCTGGTGTCTGACCCCAGGCACCAGGGCAGCTGCCAATCTGTAAACATGGTAATTAACTGATGGCTTTAATTGCTCCTTTGGACGCAACAGGATGAGATGGCTAGAATCTTGGGGTATAATCAAGGCTCGGTCCTAGGCATTTTTCTTTGTTCTTACTATGCTCTCTCCAGAAGCCCTTTCCTCTCAGAATGTGATTACTCTTTATATGGTGACAACTCCCCAATTTTTTTCCCTTATTTTGACTTCCAGATCCATATATCCAACTACCTACAGGTCTCTTACACTTATCAAGTACAGAATGGAATCTCTCCTCTTTCCCTCCCCTAGCCAACATCTGCTCCTGTCCCAGTCCCACCTAATGCAGTGAGTGACAGCCAGAGATCTAAGATTTATTAATACCTCTCTTCAATTCAGTCTCCAAGTAGCAGCAGGGGTAGTTTTCAAAAACACCGATCTGACTGCTTTGTGCTCCTGCTCCCTTCTAAGGGATCCTGTAACTCGGGCTAAGAAGTAAACCTGGACCAGTTCCCAAGTGGCCTGGCCCTCCAATCTCAGACCCTTAACTTCACTCCCTGCCCCCCCAACTGTCCTCCTCTCTGCTTCCTTGGTCCCCAGTTCTCTTCTACCCAGGGCCCTCACCCGCTGTCCCTCCTGCGGGAATGCTCCAGCTCCCGCTCCTTACCTGGTTGGCCTCCTCTTCACATGAGGCTCAGCTTAAAACACACCACTTCCTTCCAGAGATGTTCTTTGCCTCCCAGTTTAAAGCAGACCTCTGTGCTTCTCTCCCTCTCTCAGGCCTGCTCTCTCCTCTCACATCACAATGTGTCACCATTTTCGGTCACCAGTGTGTGTGGGTGGTGCTATTCTTTACACCTCTCTTCCCTCCTGGGAGGGGTCACAGGAGGGCAGGTTTTATCTGCTGCTGCAGACCCAGTGCTGGGCATGTGGTGGGCAGTCCAGGTCTGTTGAATGAATGAAAGAATGGCCACACTCTAGTTCAAGCCCTCAGCTCTCACCTGGACAGTTACTAGAGCCTCCTCACTGGTCTTGCTACTTTCATTCTCTCTTTCTTCATTCCAATCCACCTTCCACAAGTGCTGACAAGAGTTCTAAAAAAACACATTTGATCCTGTCACTCCCTTGATTAAAAGCCCAAAGTTTCCCCCACAGCCTCCAGCGTCTGGTCCAAATTTTATCTTTCCAGCTTTGACTCCTGCCACTCCTCTGAGCCCCACACCTTGTGACTTAGCCACACTGTTACTTGATGTTCCTCCATATGCCAAGTTGTTCTCTCCAGCTTTAAAGGCTGTCCATACCCTCCTCCTACTCCTATGCACCCTTTAAAATCTCAGATCAAATGTCACTTTCTGAAAGCATTTCTCGGAACTTCCCCACTGAACTTAACTTTTAAAAAAATTTATGACATTTGATACATACTACAAAATACATATAGCAGGTGTCCTGTGGTACTTTGTTCATATCACTATGACAACACACGTCCCAGGACTCTCTGTCCATCCTTACTAAACTGAGAGCTGCTCAGAAGGCAAGGGCCAATCTGGCAACCATACACAGTAGGACTTACAGGCTATAACCAGCAAGAGTTCTTGGAATTAATTTCTGGTTCTAACTCTAGCCACCTGCTACATGATCTGGACAACCCACTTGCCTTCTCTTTGACTATTTCCTCATCTGTAAAACGGGGACAACTGCCCACTCTCCCATGCAGAGGCTACAGGCATTTGGAAACTTCTAATTCTCACAACAGTGCAAAGCACAGCACGATGACTGCTGCAGCGACCATGCCTGGCACTCTCTGAGAAGCAAACCTCTGGTGACCCTCGCTCTTAGACATCCTGACCAAAATCTGATGAAAATGTATCCACACAGCCGAAGACTTTCCTTACTGTGAAGGGCAATCAGTTTCAGCCTCAAGCTATAAATGACAAGCTGGCATTAAACCATACACAGTCCTTGCATTCTGAATAGCCATTTTTCAAATAAAATGTAAAGAGTATAAGGTAACTCATACTTAAATCATGAAGAGAGAGAAGGAGCTTTCTAGCCTGCAGCTCCCAGTCACCCAGGGCAGGGGTGGGTCTGGCTGATGCAGCCTGAGTGCTCTCAGGGCCCTAAGACTCCAGGGTCCCCACCCTCCCCCAGCCATGACACACAAACCTTTCTTGTTCTCTAAGTGGCATCCTGTGCCATCCTCGGCCAGAGCTGCCTCCAGATCTTGTTTACCAACAGCCCTCTACATGGTTCCAATCCCCTCCCCCTCAGTCACACTCTCCCCTACTTAAACACAAACAAAAACTCACAATGACTCAAATTTATAATTTCTGTTAACAGTGCAGAGAAGGCAGATTTTGTGCTCCCCACCCCACTAAAATAAAATCAGCCAGATACTTAGAAATCACTTCGTCAGATAGTATTAATAAAACATCTAGGTAAATAAAATATTTTCCACTTAGGATTTCTTTAATGGAAAATGAGATTAAATACTTTTCTTCTACAGTCTGTCAATCCAGATGGCAAATTTTGTTTCTAGTCAACCCAGATGAAACTAGGAGAGGAGATGGCATGGTTCAAAAGATTTCACCAAATCCACTGGCAATGTCAAACAGGAGCCCCTTGGATGGATACCGGACATGCATAGATAGCATATACCATAATGACTGCAAAAGAATCAGAATTTTAACTGCAATTTGTCAAGCTGAATTTTCTTCCCCAAATAAAATTATTTCTTAAAAACCAGGATCTATAATGTATTTCTGTTCCAAGTGAATGATGTCGAAACCATGCAACAGTGCAAAACCACGTATCCTTTCTGAGAGAAGGCTCCCAGATAACCTGACCCTTGTACATCAGGGCTGAGGTCACAAGAAGAGATTGGAACCAAGGGTTTCTACCTTAGTAAGCCTACTTTATCTTTTCCATTTGGTAAAAAAGTCATACTGAAACAGGAGGAAGAACATTAAATATATAATGGCAATACTTGGGGCTAAAAAGCCATTCCAATAGCTTTAAAAAATATAATCTATTTGGCAACTTCTATCTGCCATATTTAACAAATAATTATTAACAAATAATTCAGACATGTTCCTGAACAGTTTAGATATCTCAGGTTCCTTCCAGAATGAAACTGAAGATATTATAAACCTCAGTACATACTATAACACTGGCAAAAGCTATGTCATGTGATTCAATTTTAAGTGTCAGGATTTCTAATCATGTCAAAGGTGATTTTACAGCAACTATTTTCAAGAGCAAGAGAACTACTCCTTAGGTCAATGCCTGTCAAACATACATACAAAAGTTTTAGCTACAATTTAAGCAGCCTAAGGAAATGTCATCAAGTTCTTTGATCTGCATGAAATTTTCTGGTGATGTGAACAAAGTTTGGAATTCTACATTTTCTTATTTAGTTTTAAAGCACCTGCTATAGATACCTGAACAAGCCCCATAAAAATGCACAAAACAGTTCCCCCAAGGAAGAACAGGTAAAGGTCAACACATTAATCCAGCACATTTAAACCTGGGTAATACTAGGTAGGAGGCCCGAGTAAATGAAAAATGGGCTTAGCTCAAAGTGTAAAATAAGGCCCACTACCTTTGGTAGGAACGTATAAATTCTTACAGGGATTCTTAATGGCTAAGTCAGGATGCTACTTACTTCCTCATTAAAAAGTTTGCTAGTTTCTTTTTTGATTGGGTCTATAAGCTGGACTTGGCCTGCGGAAAAGCCCACTAGAAGAGAGACACTTTCTGCTGTGGCTGTTAGGTGGTTGAAGTCATGACAAGTAGGCTGTGTTCCTTTGTATATCCTTTTATCTATTGGTTTACTCAAGTCAGCAGCCTGGAGGAGAAAGAGAAAAATACATACGGTAAACAGCACATTGAGATGAGATATCTAAGTTACACCATTTTATACTCCATTACGATGTTTAATCTTAAAAACGAAGTTATTTAAAATATTTTTTCAGTTGTGATTTAACATTCATCTAACATTTTATAAAAGCACTTTCACATACCTTAGCCAATCAGATGTTGTTAGACTATTATGTTTATATTTTAATGATGTCACATTGTTTGCAACTCTTACTTTCACAACTTACTCTCCATCAAATAATACAAAGACTCCTGGACTTGAGGTAGAAAAATCCTTGCAATACTAAATTCAGTATTTTCAAAATGCATTCCAAGCATTTTCTAACAGAGTAACTCTAACCACATAAAAGCTCAGCTTTCAAATGTATCTATAGCACCTTAATGCCCACTGGCCAGTTACCTGTAACCCAGTGGTTCTCAAAGTATGGTCCCCAGACCAGAAGCGGCAGCAACAGCACTGCCTGGGAACTTAGAAATGCAAATCCTCCAGCTCCACCACAGACCCAGTGAATCAGAAACCACAGGGGTGGGCGCAGCGAGCTTAAGTTTAAAAAGCCTAGGTGATTCTGATGCCCACTCAAGCGTGAGAACCACTGCTGGAGCCAACTACATGCAGGTGGCTCCCCTTCTGGGTCACAGTTCCTCCTCTGTATTAGCTTTCAGGAACTTTCACTTACTGAGCCCATATTCAAATGCTTTACATGCATCATCTTTAATCCTTACAATAATCCTTCAAACTAGACAATATTTTACCCATTTTACAGATGAGAAAACAAGTTTAGGGAACTTAAATAACTTGGCAAAGTCACCATACCTACCTAGTAAGTGGTGGGGCTGGATTTGGAACCCAGGTCTGTTTGACCATAAAGGGGATGGGGAGAAAAAGTCAAAAGCAAATGATTTCTGACTTGGGTTAAAAATGATTTTTCAATGTGCCCCTTCCTTCCTTTTTTCAAGAAGGCTTCTTTTCTTCATGAGAAATGTCTGTGTAATCCCAATATACTGGGTATTTATTGTTGAAAGAAGGGAAACCCACCCTCTCCCACTCTTGTTTGGAAATCACAGGTGGAGACAACTAACCCTCTTGAACATGTCCTTGAAAACGTTAGTTTGCCCTGTGTGCCATTCTGGGGTTCACAGCCCCAGTTCTCTACTGACCACCCCTCCCTTAGGTTCTGAAGATTTTTTTTCCCAAAGAGGCCTGTGACATGGTACTGAGTATTCTAATGTTTGATTTTCAAACAACAAATACAAAAACTGAGTAGAAAAGAGAACCTCAAAATTACAGGCGTCTTTGAGCAAACTCAAAACTTGAGCATTTGGAAGTCTGGACCTGAGTGGTACGAGTGGTTCTGGGAGCCCCGGGGCAAAGGAATGAGGGTACATGCCATGCGGACACTCTCCCAGCCTCACCTCAGTTAAAACGGAGATGAGAATCTCTGTTCTACCAACCTCATGGGATTGTCTGGAGAATGAAATAAGAGAATATACACATCAAAGAGCCTTGAAAATATAATATAAAGTATGATACAAAACAAAAGGGAGTCCTGACTCTGGAGCAAGGAGAAAAGGGGCCAGGGAGGGGAATAACCACTGTGCCACGAGGCAGGTTAAAGGCAGCTCAGCAGAGGGCTGAGAGTGGCTGAGAGTGAGCGGTGGAGGGATATAGGAGGACACGTGGACGGGCTGTCTGAGAGCAGCGGCTCCTGCGCCGAGCTCTAAAGGCGGGAGAAAGAATTCTAGGCTAAGGGAACAACATAAGCAAGTCATCTCAGAACATGGAAGCTACCAGCAAAAGTAAAAATAGCTAAAAATACAAGATACAACTGGCAGCTAGAGAGCAAAAATCCAATTTGAAATATAAACAATTAAATTATACATGATCACTATGTCAGCATATATGACTCTCGAAACTTTTTTTTTTAAAGTTTGCTTAGGGAATTTTCCCCTAAAAGAATATACCTAAAATTATGCACTGAAATATATAAATCAACTCATAGGCTAGCCAAGAATTAACAGAGAAAACATTCTAATATGAATTAAATGAGCAAAACAAACAACAGAGGAAGTAAAAGCACCTATTTTTTCCAAGTATTGCTACCACTAGAGAGTTAAACTTACGCATCCCTCATAATATTAATAACTACATTAGCTTCAGTTCCTGGAACATTTATTTTATATCCCTGCACTCCAACATGGAACTTTAATGAAAAGATGTTAAGTATTTTAAATGCCAACTGAAAGATTTTTACTCTGAAATCAGGTAAATATTCCAAAAGCATCTGTTGGTTTTTACTAACTTGCTTAACAAACTTTCTTCCTAGATCACTTGCTCTCAAAGTGTACCAGTCCGTGAATAGTTTATTCGTCTGCAGTCAAATGTGCTGTCTGCAATACAGAAATTGGGAATAAGAGTTTAGAAACTTTTGCGGCAATTGACAAGAGTAATTTTATATCTGCTGAATCTAGTGATAAAAAAAGGGTCTGTATTCTGCATGTCTTTTTTCAGTTTCTTTGTCTAGTAATTCTTTACTTTACAAAAGTATCAATCCACACAGACTGAAAATTTTTCAAAGTTGGTCCTTCAACACCAGTGTGAGAAGCACTGTCCTAGAAGACACAAAAGTGGACATGGTCCCAAGGAACACTCTGACTCTCTCTTACCTAAGGTCACACTTTCCCAGCGGCACTGACCATACTACAACAGCAGATGTCGAGCCAGGCGACACGTCACCCACACCAAGCAAGAATTACTGTGAAGTCTGAGAGATTGCTAGGCATACATACACCCATAAGAAAGTTACATCTCTGAAAAATCCATGGACTCCACTATCAGTGCCTGAGCTTTTTGAAGCCCAATCCCAAACAGAGGAAAGTCAGGCCAACCAACCTTCATTTCAAACAGCACAATCATCTCCCACTCATCCTGTCCTCTTTTCTCTACAGCCAATCACCAAGTTATCTCTTTTTACATTGAGATGTGACCATCCTATTTCTTCCTCCCTTTCTCGTTTCTGTTTTTATTGGGAGTAGCAGTGCTGCCAACATGTACCCTGAGCTCATACACTTTTTTTTTAGAGATAGGGTCTTGCTCTATTGCCCAGGCTGGAATGCAGTAGCGCAATCATAGCTCACTGAACCTCTAACTCCTGGGCTCAAGCGATCCTCCTGTCTAGTCCTCCCGAGTAGCTGGGACTACAGACATGCACCACCACATGTCTGATTTTTTTAATTTTTTGTAGAAATGGGGTCTCCCTATGGTCTCTCAACTCCTGATTCAAGCGATCCTCCTGCCCTGGCCTCCCAAAGTACTGGGATTACAGGCATGAGCCACTGTGCCTGACCTCATTTTTAGTAGCAGTAGTAACTACCTGAGCCAGCTACTCTTCTTCCCCATGGGGTCATCAGCCTCTGGGAGATGGTTTCCCAGACAGAGGCAGTCTGGTAAGAAGGAAAAAGAGTCCAGACTTTGGAACCAGGCAAGCCTAGGTTCAAAAACCCTGCCTTCCCACTTGGTGGCTAGGTGGCTTTGGGCAAGGTGTAAGTGTCCTCTCGCTGAGGCTCAGAGAACAAAGCCCCTCTCCCTCCCCTGAGGGCAGTGGTGAGTGTTGCAGATAATGGACAGAAAGCACAGAGCATACAGTACAGCAGCTACTGTTATTAATTCATTCCAGTCACACCCCACCTCCGATCAAAATGCTTCTGTGGCTTCCTAATTTCTATCATATCAAAGTACCAAGCATCCCTGCCCTCTGGGGTCCAGCTCGTCCTCCCTGCAGCAATACCACCTTCTGTCCATTGAACACTTCCTATGCGCCAGGCCTGCTCCAGGAACTGTACACTCACCATCCCCTCCAATCTCACAGTCACCCTTCAAAGCTGGTACTAATGTCGTCCACATTTCACGGGTGAGGATACTGGGCAGGGCTCGGGGGTCACGGAGCTGCGCCCTCATCCTCTCCACTCTTCACTCGCCCTCCACACCACTCGTCATGAGTGTAGGTCCAGGTAGCTGGCCCCTCTTTCCTGGCTTCATTAAGCCGCCCTCTTGGTCAGGCTGGTCTCCCTTGCCCCCTTTCCCACAAATCCTGCCCATCGGTTAAACGGCACCCGCCCCCACCCCCCGGCAGGTATTTTCCAAGCCCCCATTCTTTGAGCTCACTCCTTTATCTCCATTCTCAGGCTCTTAATTCATTCCACAACATTTAGTATTTAATCACTTACATGATTTCAGAATTGTTTTATGTCTGTTATCATCAATTATAATAAAATTACAATAAAAACTCCTTTAAGGAGTAGATTTCTTTATTAAACAGTCACCATTGTATTGTTCTACAAGATTAGCTTTTGTTTTTCAGTTTTCTGGTGGATTCTGCATACTTCGGGATTTTTAAAAAATGCTTTGCATCCTAATTATTACCAATTATCTGAGTTCTCAGACATGAATTTATAGCAGAATCAATTTATTTAAACTTCTTACCAATTTGAGGAATTAGATCTTATTTGGTGTCTAGCTCAGCAGAGTAGCTATTAGGTTATTAAGTATGAAATGTCCGATTTCCTTAAGTACTAAGTGTGACAACTGATATCTCTGACATTTCACTTTGACAATTCTTGTTTTATGTTTATCGTGAAGGTACATCCTCAGTCTTTCAAATGCAGAGTTTGGCTTGTGATTATCCTTCAAAGTTTTTTTTTTTTTTTTTTTTTTGAGCCAGAGTCTCAACTGTGTTGCCCGGGCTAGAGTGAGTGCCGTGGCATCATCCTAGCTCACAGCAACCTCAAACTCCTGGACTCAAGCGATCCTCCTGCCTCAGCCTCCGAGTAGCTGGGACTACAGGCATGCGCCACCATGCCTGGCTAATTTTTTTTCTATATATTTTTAGTTGTCCAATTAATTTCTTTTTAATTTTAGTAGAGACGGGGTCTCGCTCTTGCTCAGGCTGGTTTCGAACTCCTGAGCTCAAA